ACACACACACACACACACACACTTTAAAAGGACAAAGCAATCGCCTCCTCTTCCTGATTTGCCACTACTCCCTCGATGTGTTACACACAAAACACAAGCCCATTTCAACCGATGTCGTCAGTTTTTGTGGAAAAGACAAAAAAAAAAAAAAACACTGGTCATTGTTGACCGGTTACACTACAAACCAGTTATCCACCAAAGAGTGCAACAGAACTGAACTTCAAGTGTGATTTAGTTTTTCACAGAAACAAAATTATACACACTTTATGCTAAATACAGTTATTTATATTTATATAGCTGTCTGACATGTACTGTGGAAAATACCAGATTCCATCAAGTTTTCTACTGAATTTTAATGATGTATAAAGTGTAAAACTAAGTTTCACATTTTATGAAAAGAGTCACAGCACAAATCAAAGCAATTTCATCTAAATTGACTAAAATACTAAGCAGGCTGTTATTAAAACATTGGAAACAATCTTGTATGGAAAAAAATGTTAGACCCATTATATAAAATAAAAATCCCTTGAATTCGGTTCTTTATTCTAAACAACAAAATGTTTAACAGGAAAATAGGGGGCTGAGATCTACGGCAGGACCGGACACCAAGGTATGTCATGTGATTAAAAAAATACAATGTTTCATACAAAGACAGCAGTAACTTCCCACATTATTTCTAAACAAAAACTGTAAAAATCAGACATAAATTCAAAGCTAAGACATTTTAGATAATCTATGGATGTACTGTATGTATTCATTTATAATACTAGACATTTAACCCTACAAGTTATCCAAAAAGTAGGGGGGGTAGTATTATATACAGGTTATTGATGATTAGATTTTTTAATGCTTTTTAAGCTCAAAAATTATGATCGTCTTATACTTGAGAGTTGAGATCGTATTATACATGAATAAATACGGTCATTAACATGTATGACACGTTGGGACACTGTTTCAATATGATTTAATTTAAAATCTTAAAAAATGCCCTTAAAAGCTGACCCCAGCTCACACAAAGAAGGCCTTGCTGCAGTCTATAGGCGCTAACCCTCTTTTACATTTTATGCTTAGTTTCCCCCTGCTTCTTCCTGACCCACTTCCTCAATCCCCAAAGCCATTGGAAGGCAGGCAAAACACTTCTGAAGGCATCATACTGCTGCACAGCAAGCAGAGGTTGATGTGTATGGAGTGACTCACAAATCCAACACAGCTGAGCTACTGACCCCAGGATGCCCATCAACCTTCACCTCTCTTGACATCCACAGCGAAAGAACCACTCAGGAATCACATTGACTCTTAACTGAATCACATTGACACTCAACGAGGGTTGAGCAACCTGCTTCTCCACAGGAACCATATATGTACGTTGTTACAAATCAAAACACCCCATTGTCATAACCAAGCAAAACCATGTCAGAGATCAAACTGAGGGATTACACAGAGAGCTACGTGGACCCAAATCCACTTTGATGGGAATTTAAAAAGCCTGTGGCATGAATTTGCTAAAACAAATAAATAAAAAATAGAAGAAAGCATCTTAGTATTTAAGAAATTGCACATAATACAAATTATTCTACCCATTTTGTCACATAACTGAATTTTTTTATTTCAAACTAGGCCAAAGTGAAAGAGGAAGTCACTACAAAAGGAGAAGTCCCTTGTCTTTGCGAATCAAAACATTATTTGGACTCTGACTCTTCTTTGTCCCTCTCTAATAAAGACATAAAACAAAATCTAAAAAATAAAATAAGGTGTTGCTAGTCATAGTAGCAATGCTATTTACATGCAGGCATTCCTCTGTCATCACTTCCTGTTACTACATGCAAACATATCCAACTTAGTGATTTTGTCTTATTATTATTTTAAATGGGATATGAAGGTTCCCTTTCCAATAATGCATTTACATTCATCACAAAAACTGGATGTTCAAGGAAGGACACACAAGAAAAATGTGGTCAATTTAAAACCATGCAAAAACAACCCTCTCTTTTAAAAGTTTTAGCTACCCAAATTCAAAATAATTATTGATTGGTCACACTTTTAATAAGTTGTAATGCGAAGTAAAATCAAAATTACGGTAGGCCACATAAATACACTTTTAACATGTGTCTTACTTTTTTTTTTTTGGCTATGAAAGAGCAGTTATTACACAGTAATAAATGCCCTACATGTATAATAACGAATCCATTAAACATTTCTCTGGTCTGCCTTCAATGAGCACAACTAACAGATTAGAGTGGTCTTCTACCACGTGTTGTAAGTGAAGTGAGCAGAGGCTGCACCGTGCAGCTGGAGATGTGCTTCATGAAAGGGGCAGCCTCCAGTGGACTGCTACGACCCCCTTTCTCTTCCACACCACTGACTGTGTGTTAGTGGGTCAAATCTGAACCACGCATCTGGGTGAAGATACTCTCTGAGGATTTTCGACTTCATTCAAACGGTATGTGGAAAAAAAAAACGTGGAGTTCATTGGACATTTTTGTGTGTGGAAGCTATTGTTCAGTTCGAAGAGAATGCCAGGGGCCAGGGCGCGGTTTGTGCTGACTGCACCTCCGTCTGTGTGCGTGCGGATCTGTCGGAGATAAGTTTTCCTGCCGCACTACGGTTAGCCACCCCACCCCGTTCAATAACGTACAACAACCCATTTTCACCTCCTTCACATGAAAAAGAAGAAAAAGGTTGGTATGAAAACTGAAAATCCTTTGTTTTATAATTAAACTTCTTGCCGTTGTCAGTCAAGTGTCGACGAAAGCTAATGCTAGCTAAGAAACAATTCAGAGTATCCTGATTCATTTTAGCTAACGCGTGCACTTTCCTGTCTGGACTGCTGCGGTTAAGTGGGGTAAGGGAAGAACTGATGTAAGCTTAAAACACACAAAGRCAACTCTAAATAGTCAAAATAATCAGAGACCTACCTTCAAGTTGGAAAATTAAAGTATTCCTGAAAGCTGAATGACAGAAGGAAATCAAACGCGTATCCCAAATTATTCCTCCCTCTGTTGGAGCTGCCGCTGACAGTCTGTTCTTTCTGTTCTTTCCCCTCTCTTCCACAAGCCCCGCCCCGTGAATTTTTCCACGAGCCATGCTTGGCTCGTCCTTCTTTGACAGACAGGTTCAGCAGCAAATCAGAGGGATGCTGTGGATAAAGGGCTCCGAGTTCACTGTTCGTTTCTTCAGGCTCCCTGTTACAGTAAATTACCTTTAATCGGTCTCGTTATAACACCATAATCGTTTATGGTAGCCTACATAGAACGATTCCTTTTTTCTTGTTCAAGTAATAATCTGGCTGATAATCAATGATTAAATTAGTTAAGTATTCCATTTGCCAGTTAATTAACTAGCTAATTGAATTTACAACATTGTACCAAAGTTTTAAACTATTGTTGTGTATTATAACTTGCATCCAAGTAGACAAACCTGTAAAAAAGATTTTGGAGAAATGAAGGTATGCAAAAAAATTAAAAATTAAAAAAAAATTATAGCAGTCGAACTCTGCAATCTTTGGTATTTTTAATGTCTAACCTGTCTCTCAACCTGTCCAAAACAAATTGGTTGCTTGTAACAAAGTACATAAATATCCAATTTAAAAAAAAGATTTCTATTTGTTATGCATAAACACAGCACTGCTTCATTCCTCCAGTTAATAGGCTTTTTTTATGGCTGAATAATTCAAAATGTCCAGAGTTAGGTGCTTTAAAATGTAAAATACTATGAACATGATCAGGTACTTGACATAAAATATGTGGATGAGGACCCARAATTTAAGGAAATGCTGACAAACTGAAAGCCTGAAGAACTATTGATTAAATGAATACAAGAACATCTGGATTCTTGAAAGGAAATTATAACTTAAGAGTTTTGCACAATTCTGTGCATTGGACTGCACAAAGAATTGATGCATTTATGCAACTATGTGTGGATATAAAAAATAAACAGTGTTTACCACAATTGAAATTTAGCTTGGGGTAAAAAAAGCCTGTATGTGTTGACCATAAATAGTAACTACAATTGCAATTTGTGAGTCCTGATGGAGTAAATTTACAAATATCTACATTTAAATTTTCCTTGGTGAATCCAAGACAACCACAAGATGGCGCTATTCTGCAAATCCTCTGGAAAGCAGACCACTCGGGAGCAGCTGCAGCTCATCATCCAATCTGTTTCAGTAACAATTGTCACAAAAATAATTTACAAGCTATTTTTTTCTTTTCTTTTGAATGCCTTCTGTTCTCAATGAAAGATCTACCTAAAAAAAAAAAACCTTAATACTTACAGAACTGTAACAAAGTTTAAGCACTTTGTTGTCAACGACCCAAGAGCCTAAAAAAACTGTTTACTGAGCAATAAATCTCTGAAAATGATGGTTTAGCCCCACTGAGTCCTGATCTTAACATGATCAGAACAAACAGTGATGCAAAAACAACTGAGCAGCTTAAATGTGAAAAGTTTTCTGAAAAGAATAAAACCATTATACCCGTTTTAACAATTCAAATACGAACTAGGCCCGAGTGTCCTTCTTACCCCTTCTCACAGATGGTTTCCTCTCTATTGCCTTTTCAGCAGRCTTGAGAGGCGAATCAAACGCTGCCTTCATCTGGGCCACCTTCACAGACTGACCCTGCTCCTCACACTTGACCTCTGCTGGTTTGGGCCGGTCGTGGTGCTGCAGCTTTTCGTGCAGCTGAATCGTCTCCTTTATGAGCTCGGAAACGGGCCTGGATTTTGGAGTKCCCTCAGATTTGTCTCTCAGTGCAACGCTGCCATCGCTCTCCTTGCGGGGGTTTTTCTTGCTTTGGCTTGGCGGTGTGTTCTCTGAGTTCAGCTCCTGCTTCATGCTGCCTGAGACCTGGTGGCTCCCCTGTGTGAGAACTRCACCAGCATCCCCAGCTGGTGCAGCAGTGTCATCACAGCCCTCCTTCAACACCTGTCCGCTTCCCGATTTGTGATCCGCCCTGTCTGAGCCAGTGGTTTGGCTTTTGATGTCAGACTCCTCAGGGGGAATCTGGGACGACCCTCCGGTTTGCCCGTGGCTTTTTGCAGGCAGCAGCTCAGCGTGAGACTCTGAATGGAGCGCAGATTCCTTGAAGATCACGCCGCTTACCTCACATGATGTTCTTTCATGTGGAACAGCCGATGGTGAGTTGTTTAAAGGCAAACTTTGAGAAGGTTTTAGGCGTCTCTTCACCTCCACATTCACTAAAGCGTCTGTTGCTTTGACGCCCTCCTCACCTCTTGAGGAATGGGGTTTTKTGAGTGAGCTTTCAGACACATCATTCACTGCAGGCTGAAAACAAAGTGAATCTGAGGTTAACTTCTGAGCAGAGGCCGTCTCTTTAATTTCCTGTTCCAAAGTTTGAGAACCTCTGTCTTTTACTTGAGTTTCTGTAACCAGCTTCTTGTCGTTTCCAGACTGATCATTCTGGTTTGCTGCTGAGAATCTGCCGTCTCTCTCGGGAACATACGAGGCATCCTGAACTTCTTTGATTTTAAACAAAGACGGGGTCGCCTCCGTTTTGTTTCTCTTTAGTAGCTTCTCCAAAATGGAGCTGGGCTCGATGAGCAAGCCAGTGTTTGATGCTGGATCTGAGGGCATGACTTCGTTTGTTTCAGCGGAGGCCGTCTGTGGATGCTGCCCATCCGCCTCCCTCAGATCATCTGCATCAGCGACTTCTGGTTTCTCGTTCGAAACAGACTTTCCCACATCTTTTAGCGTTTCTTCTGTTTTGCTCTCAGTTTTCTCTCTTGAAGTTCTGCACTGAATGGAAGCACTTATGTCTAATAAAGACTCCTTCTTTGGGTTGTTTTCTAAAGGATGTGGAGGTGGCTGTTCCTTCCTTTCACTCACGCAGCCTTCTGTTCCTTCGTTCGGCTTTATATCCTGCTTCTGGGCTTCATTCAGAGCTGGAACAGGCAGCGGCTCGCTTCCTGTTTGAGCTCCGTGTGTGTTGCTCCTCAGCATCCCAGACTCCTGGTCAGAGCCGTCCAAGAAGCTTTCGTCTTTTTGTGGGACGGTGTCCTCAGCGTGATGCTCCATCTTGGTTTCTGAAGGTGCTTGCAGGTGCTCCACCGCTTTTCTTGGGCTTGTGTTGATTTGGTCAAACAGTTTCTGTGTTCTTTCCAGCCTCTCCGCTCCTGAGCTGCCTCTGTGATCGTTGTCCGCTCCATGTGAAATGCTCCTGCCCTCCTCCTCTGCGGCCCCTCCCTGTCTCACCTCCCTTGCAGCGAAACGACTCTCCCACACTTGTTTGTGCCTCTCACTAGAACTTGTTGTCGGTCCAGTGCTGGATCTTTGCTTCCGATGCAGAGTATCTTGATCTCCCGACTCTTCCGTGACCTCCTCTTCAAATTCTCCTTCTGTGACCTCACGGCCGTCCACTTCTCCAAAGTCATGACAKGGCTTCGACTCCTCCGACCCTTCCTCCAGGGTCTGTTCTTCCACCTCCACTTTGTCCTGGGTCTGTCCCATTGTGCTCTGCAGAGAAAAAAAAAGACATGATATTGATGAAGAAGACCTTTCTGTGTGCTCTCACCTCTTAAAAAAATCAGCTAAAACTGCAACTAAAGTAAGCAGACACCTGGGATTAACCTCAGTTGTTGTTTTTTTGGAGGGGGGTGTTTTGGGAAGCAATCYGGTCGCACGCTTCAAACAGGTCGTCACACAAGAGTTACTTTCAAGGAGGCGGTGAAATGGACTTTCTTGTGACTTCAGCAGCTACAGTACGCTCTCTGTCTGCCTGTTATTCATGCACTTACAACATCCACACTTGCTCCGCTTTAGGTCATAATACAGTCACAAGACCCGGACGCAATACCTCTTCAATTTTTAATCCTTTCTTTTGGACTAATGTCAGCAGAATCCCCACATTTTTGCCTCATCGACTGATTAATTCTCCCATCTAATAATACTATTTCACAAACGCTCGTGTCAGTTTGTCAAAACGTCTGAAACTTTTTCGCTTTATAAAAGGTCGGGTTATTTCCCTGTGATGATTTTCCTACTGATACGACTTCATGTGACCTGTTCTGGAACATTACCCTGAGCTGTTGCTGCAAATGATGTAAAACTGGTGGAGACAGCTGCATATAAAACACACCCCCTCAGCAGCAGCAGGAAGAGGAGGAATGAGGTCGAAACTGCAGGATCATGCTGCAGAGAGACCAACTTTTCCATGACATTGTCTAATTTGCTAAATGAGTCTTCCCCTCACAAAACCACAGCAGTAAGCAGAGTAAATGTCCTGGGTACAATGAACAATGACCTGAACCATGAGTTTTTCTTTCTCCTCTGTGTCTGTGTGACAACATATGACTGCTCTTGTCTGGTTATTAAGCCTGCACACCAGCCAGACACATGGGAGGGAACGTTGTCGCACTATGAAGGAGGCAAAGCTGTGAGAAATAAAGTGAAAATAAATATATATGACAAATGATTGCAAATAAAGATGTGAAAGAGGATCGGTGAATCTAGTTGGTTTTCTTCAGATCAGGTAAAAGTCACAAGCGGAGCGTTTGGATCCACCTTCCCTGACCTTATGAAGAACCTCTTCCCTAAAGGCAACTCTTCCTCGGCAACAACCGCTTCATTATTTTTGCCTCAGACTCCTCGGACCGATCATTTGATCACCATGTGCTCAGCTGGCCCAACATGCTCAGACATACAGGAATTCAAAGGCAATGAACCACACATTTCTCACAAATTAAAGTTTCCAAATGCATTCCTCATTTTTCTCTCCTCCCTCCTCTATCAGCTGTGATAAGACAAAAACAACAAAGTAGCACAGGCCTGGTTAATGACAGCTCACTGCTCCTGATATAACGCTGAAGTCTCATCATATGTGGCAGCTGACACTTACCAGTGAGGCGTTGTAGCCAAGTGGACCGCTCAGGACTGACAGAGTGCTCTTTGTTGGTTGTTTGGGGATGATCAGTCCTCCCTCAAATGCATCAGGAGCCTTATATTACATCCATGTGATGTCACAGCACATTTGACTAATACAATCAGGAAAAACTTAGTCTTGTAGTAAAACTTATTGCTGTCGTTTAAAGTCTTGGAGGAGCTCTGCATGATTTTTTTTAATAGTTGGTTTGTGTGGGTCAAAGTAAACAGGGATGTGAGTTATGAGTTGAAATTGTATTAAAAGTGCATTTTCAGAAAATGTTAATTATTAAAAAGATATGGTGGATGACTCACTGCAAAACTGGAAAAAAAATGTATGCCATATACAGTATTCTAAAATACATAATTTACTTACTCAAATCCTATTTTCATTCAATATTTTATTTAGAAAGCTGTTTTCTTTATTTTTTTAATTCAGTCTTATTTTCTTTTCTGAGGGTTTTTCAGAAGTTTTGAACCTTCTTCCTGGAAAAATTTAGTTGCATTTCAACAAGTTTTAAACTCTACATACACAAACATCTGGTTGTGCAGGCAGAAAGGGGAGAAGGTCACAGATCCTAAAGTCTATTAACTAACTAAAAGTGTTCAGTTTCCAACCAGACACCACACAGAGCTCCAACATGAATCTACTAAATGAGGCACAGCTGTGAGGGAAGCAACACTCCAAATGTGAGACAGGAAATAAAACAGGAAGAACTGTTTTTTCAAAGTAAAACACTAAATGAATGAAGTAACACAAAACAAGAAACAGGCAAGATGAAACCAAGACAAAAGTCCACACAACTAACAACACAAACCATGACCTGTTTTATTGTTGTTTATATTAAATAGTTTCTGAACGATTTCATATTCAGATGCCAGATAAATGCTTATAGCATTTATGGTTTTATTRATGATTTTGTTCAATCTGCTTATTTATTGGGAAATTTGTTTTCCTGTTTAATTTCTTCTGCATGTTGTATTTGCAATCAAACCACTTAATTTTATTATACGATTTATCATAATGTTCAGCTTGATGGGGATTCGTGTGCTGTATTTGAATACTTTTTGAATTATTTAACTTTACCTAAAATGTCTTCATACAGTAGAAACGCATTACTGTCTCTTGAGTTCCTTAAAAACATTCTTAAATCAAATCAAATAAATTTAGCTTGAAGCTACTGTTTTGCTAAATGTAGCTTTGAGCTTTTGTTCTAATTTATTTATTACTTTTTAGCTGTTTTTTCTATTAGCTACAGTTTTGCTAATAAGCTTTTCTGTAGTTTTGCTGATTGAAAGGTTTTAGCTACTTTTTGCTTGTTTTTAAGCAATAGTTTAGTTAATTTTAGCTTTTATGTGTTTTTGCTATTTTAAAGTTTTAACTAACATTTTTTTATTTTAGCTCTTAGCTATTTATTCACTGATTAAAGCTTTTAGCAACTTTTTATTTTTGCTAATTTTAAATATTTGCAAGTTTTGCTTATTTTAGCTTTTTAGTTTTGTTGATTTTAGCTTTTAATTATAGTGTTGTTGATTTTAGTTTTATACTTGTGTTGACTCAGTTCATCAGTCCATCATCACTCAGACTAATTTTTTATGAAAGATTCAGCTCTTAAGTTGATCTTGTTTGTGTCGTGACTGATTTAATGCTGTTTTAAATCGCTGTCTCTCAGCAATTAAATAAAAAAAATAAATAAAATTCAAAAATTCAAGAGCATACTGTTCTGATTGAGTAGTTTAAAACAAACATATGTTTGTTCTGAAACTGTAATTTAGATTCATTTTAAGTATCACTGCAGCTCACCTATAAAGAAGGTTAAACATCTAAATAAAAAAAACCTCACACTATTTCTTTTGTTTCTCAGTCTCTATAGTAACGACCTAAACAGGATAAGTCGTCAGATAATAAAAGAGAAGTGGAGGTACGGGAGCCAAGAATTCAGCAGCAGAGGAAGAAGAGGTTCTGGTCCACACCCACCGGCTGCAGGCTTCTGTGTGAACACAACGGCTGCTGTTTCAATGAAAACAAATAGACAAATTAATAAGACTCTAATTTAGGAAACCTGTTGCTTGAAAGCTGACACCACGATGTTGCTGAGTTTAAAATTATTTTTTCAAATTCATATCCAGCCTGACCGATCTGTGAATGTTCAACATGGTTTAGACCTAAACATTAAATAACTTTACTGTCACTTCAGGTCCTCACACCACATCCTGTCCTACACACATACACACAAACATGTTTTTATATCTTTGTGGGGCCCGTCCATTGACTTCCATTCATTTTTTGGTAATTTTATATCCTAACCCTGACCACCAACCCTAAGGCTAACCTCACAGGTACCTCCTGACCATAAAACTAACCTAAACTCAATTCACACCTTGGTCCTAAACCTAACCCCCACRCCCAAAATCTGCCTCCGAAGTTGTGGGGCCCAAGGAGCACCCGGTCCCCATGAGGCTGCATTTTCCTTAAAACTGGGCCCCACGATGTAGGAAAAACAAGGCCACACACACACACACACACACACACACACACACACACACACACACACACACACACACACACACACACACACACACACACACACACACACAAGCTGGGAGGAGCATCTGAGTATAACTTAGGTAATTCACTGATGTCATCCAAACAGCAACAGAATGCCAAATGTTATATAACCTGGCTGTTAGAAAATGTTTTTTCTGCCAAAGTAAAGGAGGGCATGATGATGTAACTTCAGGGTACACACTTCATTACCGTCTACTGTACATATATTTTAGGCTCACTTAAAAATCTGTTATTTTCCCCCAGCCAGAAAGGATTTTTGTTGATAATACCAGTATGAGGATCCACAATTAAATTCTGTAAAAGAAATGTTTATTTCCATATTTAACACGTACAGTACATCTTTATTTACCAACATAAAAAGTGCATTATGCGTTCAAACTACAGCATTGTACAGTACAAAAACTACTGCATATTTAAATTGAAAAAAAAAAAAGGTTACAAACTGAAGTAACCTATTGTGAACGAAAGCTTTGACACTCATTGATGATATGAGCAGAAAAGCTTATCGAGACTCCTCTGAGTCTCTTTCATTACTCCAAAAGGTGCAAAAAGAGGTGACAGCATTTCAATATGTACGCGATTGACAAAATGATTCACTTTTTTTTTTTTTACAGCTTCAAGGTTGTGTCCAATTTGATAAGATGCCAAATATAACTTTGGTCTTCCACRTTTAAAAAAAAAAAAGCACAATTGTGTTCAAAACATTGGCAGCACTTAAAAATTAATTTAAGTCAAAGAGCATTTAAAAGTCATGTTTATGTTGTGTCTAGAATTCAGGATTTCAAGCCGTGCAGCACAACTTCTCACGCTGCTCTCCCAAAAATATTTTACAAAGTAGGTGATGAGGTTCATAACATTACTATAATGTTAGTTTGGAAGATAGCTCGCTCGTACCGATATTTACGCAATAATAATAAAAACAAAAATAAAAAACAGTGCAAAGAAACAACAAACTCAGAAAACCTCTGTTGTGTTTGTTGAAAACAGTGTGTGTGCCACTGGTGAAGGTTGCAACCTTCTCTCCCCACTTTCATCTCATTCCCTCGCCCTTAAGACTAAATGTGAAGTTAAAGTATTAAYGCACAATTCTGCGTTAAAGATCTATTTCACCTCTCTTAACTTTCAGGGTGGTAAAATTCTGAGAAAATTCAAAGTTGGAAACTGTTCATGAGAATTAATAGGAATTTGTGGGAATAAACCCAGAAATTAAAATACTAAATGTCTGCAACAGATTGTAAATATAGATGAGGAAAATTTAGCACCGTTTTGACTAAAACTACCAGATTTCATGGCTGTGCTGAGTAATGAGGCATACTGCACCCTAAAAAATGATAAACTGTCACCTGTAATGTTGGGATTGATAGAAATAGTAATAGTTTTGTTTTGAGTTGTGAGAATGATTTATATTTTCTGTACATAAATCTATATATTTCAGTTATGTTTTAATGTAATTATCTACTGCCTATGACAAAACAAAATGTTCGTTTTGTTAGAATATGATCATTTTAAAAATTACCCCCAATTTTCAGTTAATTCCACCAAATTCTCATATATTCCTGTAGAATGTTTCCAGTTTGGAATATTTCCCAGATCCCTCAGCTCAACTTCCTATAAAGATTAGTGGAAATTTTCAGCTTCTTTAGAACTCTACTAACTTGGCATCGCTAAAGGGACAAAAATACACAATGGCCTGGTTTCCGTCTGGGCACTGGACGCAGCATGAGGTAAACTTTTGATTTTACATCCTTTTAACAAAATTCTGTGATAAACTCTAACTTTGTTTCAAGACTTGGTTTCTTTCGAACTCTTTGAGGGATTCCAGTTCATCAATGAATGCAGTTACAATCTTGTAGGTGGAACCACCTGCCTTTTGATAGCAGATACAGAACGACTTGTACCGTCTTGTGTCTCATGGATCTGTGCCTTGGGTCTCTTTGTAAGGCACTTATTTGTCCATGACTCAAAGTTAGAGGTGAACTGATGGCTTAACACATTTGTCAAATACAGCAATATGACTCATTATTCTGAACAGCAGTTTAAGAAGCAATGTGGCCAAAGAAGTGTATCCTCCTTATAAAACAGTTGGCATTATTATTATTTTTGTTCTTGTTTTATTTCCTCCTTTTGTTTTGAAAATCTGTGCAGGGTTCTCCAGTCCCACAGTGTGCTGGATGAAAATGTGAATGGAGTAGATAAATATGTAGGATCTCCACGTCATTTGTCAGCTTCTGGGCTCACCTGGAAGGGCTCTCTCTGGAGTGTGCAAGCTCTTGCAGGGCGGTGACAGCGCCGAGGCGGCGGGGGAGTCCCACTCCATGCCCGGGTCTGTTTCTGGCGACAGAGACAGCAGCAGCAGCGTCCCCGCATCTGAGGAGCAGACTGAGCACAGGTCCTCGCAGGAGAAGTCGAGGCTGCCCAGCTTGGCTAGAGAGTTGGACCTCTTCAGCTTCGAGGACACGGTGAGGCCCGCGAGTCGCATGCGGGTCTCGATTTCCTGTGCCCTCTGACGCACGAGGCCGGGCTTCCCCCTGACGCTGCGCAGGCTGTCGCTGCTGGAGCTGCGTGTCAGGGTGGAGGTGGGGGTGAGCAACCCAGACCCCACCAYCCCTAACAAGGCTTCATTGGTCAGTGGCACCATCAGAGGTTCTAACCGCACTTGGGATGGTGTTGATTTAGCAAAGTTCCCTGGGAAGCTGGAGAACTCGTCGTCGTYGTCGTGTTGAGAGGAACTCTTCCTGGACTTTTGGCGTGCGTGGAAAGGCTTCAGAGAGTGCAGGCTCTGCTCAGACAGCCCTGAAAGTCTCTCCAGCCTTTCGGCGCGACGGCGGACCAGCCCAGAACGACGCAGCTGTAAGAGGCTCTCCTGTTGTTGGCCCACGTAACAAGCCACTGCAGGCGTTGCTTCCTTCAGATCTGCCCTCACCAGCTCTGGGAGAACCTCCGAGGCAGCTGCAGACTGGGCGTCATCAAGCTCGGCGTTATCTGTCCAGCGATCGCCATTGTCCACAGGCTGAACTAAATGCAGTGATTCTCCTGGCTGTTTCTCATGTGAAGCACTGGGTAGGCAGGCTGAACAGTTGGCACTTTCACACGGAGGCCCACAAGGGCCCCGCAGACCGTCAGCAGAGGAATGAAACTGTAGGAACGAAGCACTTTGGAGTAAAGGAGGAGAGCAGGGATTAAGGCAAAAACCTGGGTCTGAAGATTCTTCTTTCTGATCACACCCAAACAGCATAGAAGCCTCTCTTGGAAGAGGGGTGGAGGAAGCGTTTTCCTAAAAAAACATAAAAAAGTCAGATGAATTACACATTTAGCTGCTAGAATCTTTTTTATTTTCAAGTGTGTCCCAAACTTACATATTGAGTGCTCCAACGGTTGTTGTTGTTGTTGTTGTTGGAATTTTCATTGAGGGTCGCCAGATCCATCCCGAAACCTTCTGCATCTCCCTCTACTTCCACATCCTGTGTTTCATCCCCACCTCCCCCATCGTCTGGCTGCATCAGCACCTCCATCTCTGCTTCCTCCTTCCGTATGTCCTCCTCATCCTCTTCCTCCACGGTGCTGAACTCCAGCCTGAGACGCAGCTCCTCCAGGGGCTCGGGGCCTCGGCTGCAGGTCTGTGCGGCGGTCCCCTCTGCAGTGGGCCCAAAGTGGGGGAGGGGAAGGCCTTCTCGTCCGTCGAAAGCCTCGTCGTCCAGCAGGGCGTCTCGTTCCACGTCTTCAATTTCTATAAAGACCTTTTCCATGCCGAGGAGGGGCGGACCACGCACCGGCGTTGACGGTTCGCTGTCCAGAGCCGAGTCAGGGAGTCGGCGGAAGTAGTAGTTGTTGTAGGCGGGATCGATGTCAAGGGCAACGGCCCTGCATGGGGAGGGGCATGCTGCACCTTTGTCGGGCAGCACCTCCTCGCAGCAGGGAGACATTCCTGGCTCCAGACCCACATGCTCTCCTTCTTCTCCACAACACTGAGACAACCCCTGCTGACCCTCTGCCATCTCACAGTCTGCATCTGGATGCCACAGCTTGTTGTGTCGCTGTTTGCTGGGGGGGAAAAAGGAAATAATTTGTGCAAAAAATGTGTTAAAAAATCCAAAATCTAAAAGACGAGCAGTTTATAACACTACACACACACRTATCAGTTCAGGACGGTACCTGGCATCTAAAATGCCCTCATACTCTGCCAGCTGTCTCATGAAACCGGGGTTGGGTCGAGTGATGTTCCTCTTCTGTTTCACAATGTTGTAAGCTCTCTCCAGCGACCAGCCGTACTCCTTCATGGCGTAAGCGATGACAGTGGAGGCAGACCGACTGACGCCCATCTTGCAGTGAACGAGACACTTTGAGTCGTTTTTTCTGGAAATGAGAACTAATTGGTCATTTATGCAATAAATACGTGAACCACCTTTGCAGAGGCTTTCAACTACAATAAACAGAGTCGAGATAAAGCATCAGTGTATTTAACAGGTGAGTTTAAAACTCACTTTGCTTTCACAATGAAGTTGTACGTATCGTTCCAGTGTGCCAGCAGGTCGGTGGCCTCTTCATCGTACACACGAACGTTGTGATAACAGAACGTCCCTGGAAAGAAGTTGTCAATCTCCCTGGTCACATTGAGGATGTAACCCACCCTGGAGGAAATAATAATTGATAATTCATCAGTATTGCTTTTCTTGCTTGAATCATTATAAAAATGTATATTTTGTGTGGAGCTCTAAGTCACCCTGTCTCCTGCAGCTCCTCCAAATTAGATGCATTCCATTCAGATCCCTGAAACAAAAAGATTAATCCTTTAAGTGTTAAAAAAAACCTTTGGAATAAAAATAAAAATGAAACAATTTATCTCAGTTATTAAGTACAGCAGACAGTTTTTGTAAATGGGGAAGACAACTTGAATTTTCCCACCAGGTAGACGTGGTCAAAAATGAGAGTAGCTTTGTCCATCTGGCCAAGGATGAGCAGCATCTCATTGTCAATGAACTCTTTGTACTCCTTCAAGTTGCAGTTCATGTGCTGCTCCAACTCTGTGCGGATCTGAAATAAAGAAATAAACAGCATGTCTTGATTTCTGTATGACTGGTTTTACAGCAAATATGCATTCAAACGTTTTTTTTTTCCAGATGTCAATGAACTACCAATGAACTCATCAAGTCTTCTTTTTTTCCTGGAAATGAGTGGAGGCTACAGCTAGATTTCAAAGTGCTTGAAGGTTGTAATTTGACTGCTAAAAATTCTGATGTAACAGTTAAGGAGACTGAGGGAGTCAAAACAAAGCTGCAGATAAAACTGAAGGTCTGCAGGCTAAAAAGGTCAAACTTAATATCTGTAGAGAAGCTTGTGGATAAAAACGTCCCAAAGAAACAAATGCCGTCATCAGACGAGGTAAAAATTTGAATCTTTTCCCACAATAACCAATCATGTTTGTTACGTTTGTCCTTTATGTAAATATTCTTTTCTTGGTTGTGCAGAAGTCTGTTGACCTAGAAGCATCCATTTATAACACAGATAACATGCTGTAACAATGATCATAAGAATACTGCAATATTGTGCTAATCAAAATATCATAAAAAAGTAATAAAACTTAAATTATGAAGTGTATTGAGCACCAGCTAAACTAAAAACATTATAACTTGAATTTATCTGCAGGTTGTATTGGATCTGCCAAGAGATAAGTAGTGATTTGAAAATGAGCCTAAAACTATAATGATGTTTTTCTAATCTATTTTGGTAATGTTGAAATTTAAATTTTTAGTTTTAGATATGCATTTCAGATATGTTTTTTAAAGGACAAATTTTTCATGTATACCTAATCTTTTGCATACTCAGAGTAACAATCAAGTCTGCATTAAAGACAAATGGGTAGCATAAAAACAAAAGGACTGAGGTCTGTATAAATAAAAGAATGAAATGTAAATGCAGCAACAGAAAAAAACTAAACACAATCAGCATTTTATTAGGTTTTGCTTTGTTTTGTTACTTTTACCTGTTTGCAGGTGACATTCTCTAGGTCCTGGGATGTCATGATGCTTCTGAGTTTGGCTTTAATAAGGCACTCTGTCCTTTCTCTTTCTGAAGGCCTAAAAAACATTAAAATTCAATCATCAAAATACAGATTAAGTTATATTAAGTTACAGTTCCACAAAAAGAGTTGTTTCTAAAAAAAAGTCAATTTACTTGTCGACAAACATGGTGGGTGAGTCAGGTCGCGTGGTCTCCAAGTCTTTCATGGCGTTCCACTCGTTTATGCAGCTCTGGTCTGAAGTGATGCAGCTCTCATAGTAGCCCGTCCAGGTGAGAGCCATTCCTCCAGGGAAGTAGTTAAACCTTCGCGACACCTCACAAGCTTTGTGCAGCACTTGCAAGGCTGACCTAGATTGTTGTCGATCAGAAACAAAAATGAACATTAGACAACAGTGAAAGAATCAGTCAAACGTTCAGTCTGGCTTTGTGCAAAGTGCAGCCAGCAGGTGGCACAATGAGTCAGCACTGCTTCAGTCTGCATCACTGCAGAATCAGGAGGCTTACTGAGCTCTTCCATTATTCTTCAACTGTTAGAGACAGCCACTGTGACTCAGGGCATTGATAATTACTCACCACATTGCCTGCACCGACACGGGTTTGAAGACATGAGTCCGACTCGCCGTGTTCACGGTAAAACCCCTGAGGAGCAGATGAAACAGACGGGTCAGTCCCTGAGGCGGAGATCACTGCAGCTTTGTGTAGATCGAGCTCATCTGGTGTTATAGGACTGAGGCAGTGTTGGGTAAAAAAATTGGAAAAAACAGAGCTGCAGCTGTGTTCCCCGTCCTTATCACAAGGGTCACAAAAACTGAAGGGAGCTCACCCGTCTCCATCCAGATGGATCTTTGTGTCGCTCCACAGAGGTAGCACCATGCCGACCGAACAGCTTTTGCTAGCGGGAGAAAGCAAAAACAGACAAAAAGACAGAATGCAAATGAATGAGAAGTTTTGATAAAAAGCCTTTTTATAGCTAAATGACAAAAGCAAAAATTTTCTCATGGTTAAATTATGTCCTTCCATTAAAATTCTTAAAATCCCTGTGCCAATTACAGCTCAGTGAATACCTAATCTTCTGGACACAAGAAAATAAATACTTTAAACTTGAGGCAAACACAAAGTTAACTCTTTTCTATGTAATTCATYATCATTTTGTAACAACATACTAATTGTTTTTGTACCAGTCTTTATTGATGAAGTCGATCCCTAAAAGAATGTTCTCCTCTGTGTCCTGTCGCCCGCTGGTATACACCACAACCATGTACCGAACACGATCTGACCATCCACTTTCCAGACGTACCGCCTGCACAGTGAAAACAGTTTATTTTAAAGGGTTTACAGCTTTAGTCCTGCACAACAAATATACAGTAAATGACAACACTGTTACGTATACTGTATATTAACTGGAAACAGAAGTTTTAAATTAAAAAATTAAGATTTCACATTTGCAACCAAAACTCTCATCGTGCCAATACAAAACTGATTGAAACCTAGCAGCTAACTCCAACATACCAGACACATTTTACAAGGTTCTTAATGTTTAAACCACTTGTAAATTAAACATAAGCAAACAAGTGTAAAACTAACATGTAGTTTGGATGGCTTTGTAAAATCAGGTTTTCAGACAAGAACTAATACTTCTTTATTTGGGTTCTTTCTTTTGTTTCTATGTGTCTACATGACGACTCTTACCAGTTTGATTCTGTCTTCTGAGCGGAGAATGTTTATCATCACCTGCAGGTGTTGAGGTAAGTCACCTGTTGAGGAAGATGGTGAGTTGTTTGGTGATTACAAATTAATCTCTTTCAACAGACAATATTAATTCATGCTGGATATCTTATAAACTGAACACAGTACTGCTGTAGTCTGCTGAAAACATTACACTGTTCTCACAAACACCTCTTTTAAAACCTAAATGCCTCAAAACAATAAGGTGAAAGGAAATCAGGGAATTTTATGAAGTGATGTGCTGTTAAACAACTACATTAAAGAACTGCTAAAAACATCAATAAGTTGGGAAAATCTATCAAACTCAAAACTCTAAGTCAAGAACTTGTCTTTTACATTTTACATCTATCACTGCTCCTTGAGTCATGTAGAGCAGGGTAATAAAACAGGGTGTGGAAATGGACTAATAGCAAGAAAAAGTAGCATCCGACAGCGAGACAATAATGTTGAAATGTGTCACAACAAGGAAAACAGACAAACTTTAAGACCCAGAGTGTGTCTGAACAGCTGTGCGGAAACAGAAACTCTCTGACTTTGGTTTGTGCTTTTTTGTCCATGTTGTCTGTAAGGTAAGCCAAATATTTAACAAACCACTAAACTACCTATGATTAAACTTTCAGAAAGTAATCATTCAGTGCAGATCTACAGTTCTAACTTTTGGAGCCAAGCCAATTCAAGATGAAACTGCGCTGTCATTTTTAGGATTAACTCATTTGTTAATGTAAGATGATCTAAAGGCACTGTCACTTTAGGCTAAAACTCTGGCATGAAAGGCAAAGGGCAAAATTAATTTCTTCAAGGAATGCCAGGTTTTTAATAATATAATTATCTTATGTATCTATTTTTATCTATCTAATGCCAGACATGTTGGAGTTACACTTTACAAACTACAGCATTATTTTTAACTTGTCAGTGATGGTGTGGCAGCACCTTTAAGAACAAGAAGGCCTTTCATCAAGAACTTCTTATGTGTCAGCCTCACTGTCTCCCACTTCTTGGTCAAATCCCACAGGTACTGAGAAATGACACAGCTATTTCCCCTGGCAAATGCTCCTGACGACAAAGTACGCCAGGCAAATATGTGAGGTACCTGACGAAGTGGCCAGTAAAGATGGACAAAGCTGCCAGCCTCAGACACGAGTTGCCAAACGGCTTGGCAGCAGTTTAGTTGCAAGCTGATGGTAAAATCTCATCACGCAACTAACTGGACTCCACGGCTAGCCGTGAAACTTTAAAGCAACTACTGTGGTTTTCAAAGTTAAGAAAAAGAAGTTTGATTAAGGAGGAAATTCAGCCCAACTCGTCTTGTGAACTTATGCTTTCAAAGCAATATAATGTACAATCTCCACTAGCCATTCATTTACTTTAGTTAGCAAAAACTAAAGCAGCTGTTGCAGAAGAATACAAATGATTTGAACAATATGAAGTYAACTAAGACTATAAATGAATGCTAAAAATAGTCCTATAACTTGTAGAGTTTGTAAAGTTAGAGTTAGAACAGCACGTCAGGTTGTATAAATAGTAAGGACCTTCTTTAATCATCAACAGAAGTTTTGCTCAGAGGGCCACCATACGCTGGATTTAAGCACTAATCTGCCTAAGCTACAGGTCTGGAACATGCTTATCAACAACGCAGCCTCCAGCCTTCTCACCCCAGTTATAAACATCTGCTGCAGAGCTAATGAGTGCAGCACCTGACCTTATTTTACAGTGACGCTGCTCAATACGACCCTGATGCGAAGAGTGATGATGAACGCTGAATTGTGCTTCTTTGTGATTCTCACCTGCATGTTTGTGAGGAGGATGTGCTCTTTGGCCCTGCTGGCTGCTTCCCTGCTGCAAGAAGAGAGCAGCGCCCTTCACCATAAAGAAACTCTCACTCAGGCTGCAAACAAAAAGGGAGAGAAAAGTTACAAAACTTGAAACACATTACAATGTGTTTTGAGTTTTGAGGAAGAGATGCACATTCATTGCAATCACTTTAAACAAGAAAAAAAGACCAAACAGTAAAAAAAGAACCTCAGCAGATGGGTTTAGTTCAGTTAGAAAGCACCAATGAGATAACTATAAATCACTGATGTCCGCTTCTGGTGAATTAACTCCACAGCTCAGAAGAGAAGCCAAGCTGCCACGTTACAGAGGCAGACCTCATCCTGCAGCCACCAGGATTCAAGCACTGAGCTCAGATCGGACTTGTCAGATCTTTGCTGCCTTCAGAGAATGCAACACAGAATGCAACTCTTTGTGAAGCTTACCTTTCACCATGACTGTACAAGCCTCAATAACCACTTTATATAAATTTATCAAAGTCTGGACTTTATCAGGTCAAGCGTTGGAACTAGAAACAGATGAGATATTTAAGGAAGTGCAACAAAAAATAAAAAACACAAGTAAGTGCAGTTATTCCTCCAGGCTGAATTCAATCATTCCATGTCAGTGAAGAAACAATAGGAACACAATCCTAAATCAAGCTGACAGCTGGGTGGAACACACGCAACAGGTATTCTGTGTCTGCAATCTGGAAAACCAGGTCATCATTAGGAAAACACAGAAGTGATGAGTGACAAAATTAAAAAAAATAAATAAATCCTGAATCCCCGAAAGACAAACCTGTTTTTTCACACAGCTTTCATGACATCATTTTATTGAGGTAATAAGAGATTGCTGCTTCAAGCGAAAAAAAAGAACTTGTTTCGTTCAGAAAATGCCCATTATTGATATCAGAGAGACAAAACTAAAAAGTTTAAGGAGACTTATCCCATCTATATCAAAGAGAAACTGACTCCAAGTTTTTAGTTTTGAATAAACTGCTCCATAATCTTGCTCCCGCTGGTTGGACTTTCAAAACCCACGTACGGTTAAAAAGGCCTGAACCAAACTGAGCATTTTGTGGGAACAATGCCTTTCATTTTGTACACCTCACAATAAATTCTGGCCGCCCCCAGCAATGCAAAAAAAAAAAAAAAAAAAAAAACTTACAGTGACAAGGCATGGGGGTGGACACTTTTTAACAAGAGCTTTTGTGCCACTTCAGTACATTTTTATCATGTTTTTTTCTGTTTGATAAAGTTTCAAAAAGGGTCAACAGGCAGGAAATTGACAACTGTAAGAGGAAAAGGTTACTATATCACAACCAAAAAGGGGCAGGTGACTCATTGCGACTCAGAACTGTGTATGCACCTATCGTTAATTATTCCTTTTTAATCTGTAAATGTGTGTAACTTCTGAAGTGTAAATCAACAGCTGCCTTAACTACAGACACCCTATCTAAACACCAAAAGCTCAACTCTTTCCTTTGCTGCAGCACCCTGTTATCAGCTTCTCCACAAATGTTAGAGCTGAAAGTATGTCTTGTATCAAAGCAAACTGACTCTGAAAGCAAACTTTAGCAGATAACTCTGAATGCACCTGTACATACTCAGTAAAGAATGAACAGGAACTTGCTCCTAAAACAATTCAAAACTAAAGTAATGAGGCAACTTCTCATAATGTGGTTTAAGAAAAGTCAGCAAAACTCACATGCGGTTGATCTCCCTCTGAGTCAACACAGCATTTTCTACAAAATACGGCAGCATCTTCATCACGACCTCCTGAATGGGTTCTACGACCAGATGCATCCTGTTGACCGGAGTGAAACCCAGGCCGCTCTGGTGCGAGCTATCTGCTCTTCATTGTGGAGAAAGAAGAAACCGTGGCTTCGGTTTTGTCCTTTTGAGTGACAAACTGTGTCTGCCCTCATCTGTGAGGCTTTGTAGAGCAGAGCCGTCAGTTCAGAGGCCACTCCCTCCAGATGCCTCTTCCTCCTCCCTCATCGGAGCGCCTCCGCTTGAGTCTGCCAACCGCCTGCAGGGATACACTGCAGCCTCAGGCTCACACAACCAGAGTCCCAGGTCCTTCGCTCRGTTCTTCCTGTGACAATTCTTTAGTAGAGTAATGACGGTGAAACATCCAAGACTGCAGGTGAGAATCTAGAGAGTTGATCATAACATGAGTCGAAGAGTTCTGTTCGCCCCTTAAACTTCAGGTCAGCATCATTACAAAGTGAAGAATGAGTTTCTTCTTAAGTTTGTGATCCTGAAGTRAAATCAGCTACACCAAATGAGAAAGCCTCCTTTTCTCTGTGTTTACAAAGCAGAACTTCTCCGGAGGAAAGAAGCAGATATTGGTCAAACAGACTCGAGGGTACAGCCTYCACAGATCTCAACCCAGGAGCAAAGCAAAGGTGGAACAGGCAGCGAGAAGAACTGGCATCGTCCCAGAACTCCCCAATCTCATTATACGCAGGCTTATAAAGGAGGGATTAGCTTGTGTCTTTGCTTTCAAGTGGCCAGTGCTAGCTGTCATTCACTCACATGCACCCCTATCAAACACACAGTCTGAGATTATTTGGGATTATARCGGGTTACAGAGGACATACCTTTTRAACCCTAAAAAAACAAGAMATATTTATACAATAGGTAAATAGTATGAAAAACCAAAYTGAGAAATATAATTGTGAAAATAGACACACAAATACAGCTGAAAACTGACCATGTTTAGAGGATTAAAGATTTTTTTAAACTTGTGTTTTCTTCAGACACAAATCTATAAAATCTCCAAACAWAAATAATGAAACATCTATTGAACTKGGTGAGTTTGATGATTCACGGAAACCCAACAGCAACCGGACAATATTTGACAATCACCAGCAGTATTTAACAAATGTTTCTAGGCTCACTGACAGTCCATATAGAGCTCTGGGTGGTTCTGTGTTAGAACCAGAAAGACTAGAGAGAAATAAAAGGATAAAAGGAACTTCCATTGAATTTGAGGTCAAGTTTTAAAAGCATTTGGTATAAATGGCAGCACATCACAGCATGAATGTTTGATTTGTAGCGCTGTCTGTATCCAGATAAATGGAATAAATGGAGTAAAAAAGACCAGATGTCCTCTAAGCTGGAGCTCTGAGTCACTACATGAACAGGTATGAGAGAAAGCTGCTCCAAGTCACCCTGTAAAGAGGATACAAAGAGCCTGTTACCAGGCTGGTTTAGTCATGGTCTTTGGAGTGTGTTCCAGACACAAGCACAACAAGAAAAAAAGAAAAAAAAACTTTCTCTCGGGGTTGTCTGTTGCCTAATACTGGCATTTTCCTACGAAAGGGGTTAAGAAGGAGGGGAACAAGAGGGAGGAACCACCTCAGGTGTCAAAGGGCAAAGCAAAAAAATAAATGACACCATTGTACTGATGGAGAAAAAAGCACACATGAAAGACTGAGATGTGGGACTTCTGCTCCAGCCTTTATTGCCTCCGCCAAGGGGGTAATGTTTTCGGTTGTGTATGTCCATCTGTCTGTCGTTCTGTCTGTGGACAACATTACTCAAAAAACTTGTGGATGGATTGTCATGACATTTTTACCACATGTGTGTAATGGCCCAAGTAACACACCAATACATTTTGGTGATGTTCTGGATCACGATGGGGATACAGGAATTTTTTTCTTTTAATCCTCTGAGATCGGCAAAGCTGTGATGCTTTCACAGGGCTTCTGTAAAAAACAGTGAGCGCTTTCAGTGTTCATTTGAACTGGATTGGACAGCACGGACTTCAAACTTTATAAAAGTAATGTCAAAACCAGATTTAATGATGAATAATTTTTGCCATAATGTACGCATTTTTACACATTTGGTGCRCATTTAGAGAACGTTTTCTGACCAGGAAGGGCTTGACTGCACCATGAAACCCATTTTTCCCATTTCCTCAAACACACCACATTTCCGAAACAACCAAAACAGTTTCTCGCTACGCTTGTAAACACAGAGCTTCTGGCCGGGCCTCAAAGTTTGGAGACAGGGGAAGCCAGGAAGCACTTTATAAAGAGAGTCAAACCATTATAAACGCATACAAGGGGATAAAACAGACGTTTTACACGGTGGAATGTGACTGATGAAAACTTAGGAGCTTAATCTGACACCAGTTTGACAATGAATAACGTCGGGTGACGAGTCTGACTTTTTTTTTTCACATTCGACTCCACCGAGAAGAAATTCCGTGCATCCTGCCTGCTTAAATGTTCACTACGTCAGAACTTATTCAGCAAATGTGTTTCCATCTCTGCTTTTGTGCATTCACTCTATTACAGGATGGGGGAAATTGGTCTTGGCGGAGGTTTGCACTCTCCGAGTGCTTCTAGTTTCTTCTTGGTTTCTACACTTAAAACCAGAGACAGTCCCGTGAAGGCATAAAAACCTTCATTTGTCTTCTACAATCTGACCCCTCTGTGCTAAATACCAGCACATCCTCCTCCAACCAAACATTAAATTTACACTCATTAAACAAGTTGAATCTAAATGATGCTTGCTCAATTCTTTTGCACACAAGCTGAGTAAGTGAAATCATACTTTGGCTTATTGCCACAAACACCAGCCCAATATTTATGTTGGTCGTCGTCAACTATATGGGCTTTTCATCATTAAGGTCAGCCAGGAACAGAAAGTACAAATATTCCAGTTTGGCAGCTTTTCAGCTGTCCATCAACAGATGTAACCTTTCAACTGGTTTACCAGATCAGTTCACCCTGATAAATCTGTCTGTCAAATTAAACACTGCTCAACAAGCCTATTCTATAAAAACAAATTTACTGCCAGCTTGATTGCATAATGTGGCTTATGAGCCCTTCAAAAAAATGAAAGACATCTAGAAGCAAGTCAAGACTGGCATTGTGTATAAGATCATGCATCGCTCGGGGATATCACATAGGATATTGCATAACGGAAATCAAACTGAGCAGTTAGTAGGCCACATCTCGTGGTCAGAAACAGTGCTTCATTTCTTTATGATTCATGCCTTTCAAATATATTTAGAAGAAAAGGTTTCTCCCATAACTGTGAGGAATATAACAAACCCCACACAGCAGACTTCACTGATGGAAAAAAACAACCCAAAAGAACAAAGAACTCCGTCAACATGACTGACACATAAAAGCTTGTCCTGTTATCATTGTACCATCTTGACAAGTCAGTTTTGTGCTGACAAGTTCTTGTGCAAATCTGCTGTAAACGGAAATTAAATCTCTCTCACTGCTTTACCTCATTTGTGTTAAAACACCATCCAATTGTGTGTGGCTTCGTTTTAGGTATACATGCTTTCCGTGTCTATAACATACAGCGGGTAAAATAAGTATTGAACATGTCACCATTTTTTCCCAGTAAATATATTACTAGAGKTGCTAATGACATGAAATTTTCACCAGATGTCGGTAACAACCCAAGTGATCCATACATACAAAGAAATCAAACCAYAAATGTCCAGAAATGAAGTTATTTGTAATAATGTGGAATGGCACAGGGAAAAAGTATAGAACACATGAAGAAAGGGAGGTGTAAAAAGGCATGGAAAGCCAAGACACCAGCTGAACTCGCTCAGTAATTTGAAAGCAAGCCTGCCCCATGTCAGTGCAACTTAATATCAGCTGGTTCAGTCCCAAATGATGGCCAG